AATAAGAGTTTGCTAGACTCCTGCCTGGGCAGCTGTGAGGACCACCCTGAGGGAGGCAGTCGGTTGAGGGTCTCACCGGGTTTCGGTGACTGGATGAAGAAGAGGAGGATGAGCTACTCTGTGAGCCAAAACGATGAATTCGTGTTTGGAGAGATGGAGTTTGAGACACTGGTTTTCAGTGCCAGTGTTGGGAGCAGAGACAGGGTTGGCAGCTGCGGCAGTAATCACAGCTGGTGTTTGTCCAGTGCCCGTCACCAGCACCATTTAACTTAGTGCTCATTTTGATACATTGTGCTGCGCTGTTTTCAAGCACCAGCTCATTCCACTCTCTGAATTAATTACTGTTATTCTTCCCGTTTTGCAGAGAGGAAACTGAGGCTTAGAGAGGCTTACATGCTCACATCACTAATAAATAGTGGAACCAGGCCCGTATCTCATTTCTGATGGGCTCCAAAGCCTATTCTCTCTGCCTTGCTGCTTCCTGACACACAGGTGGAGCCGGGATCACCCGTGCAGGAGGTCAGCGTTGGTTAGGAGACCCTGTCCTGTTCACTATACCACTTTACCTGGCTTTACGTCTTTGTAGCATTTATCCCTGACATTATGTTGTAGACATATTTGCTTTTTGCCTGTCTCCCTCATTAGAACGTGAGATCCAAGAGGCAAGGACTCTGCCTGTCTCTTCATAGCTTTTTGCTGTATTCCCAGAACAGTGCCTGGCACATAGTAGTTGCTCAAATAACATCATAAAATCAGTAATAATGTTAATAGTCATCACATGCTTACCATGTGCCAAGTGCTTGGCACATGCTGTCTCACTTGATCCCCTTGGCTATTATCATCTCCACAGGAGAGAACAAAGTAACAAGGCCACAGCCAGGATAAGGAGCTTGCTCGAGGCCACATGGCTCAGAAGAAATAGAGCCAGGATTTGGACGCAAATACGTTGGTTCCAGAAATCAGGTCCTTAGATACAAAGCTTTACTGCCTTTTGTGAGTCAATGAATGATTAAAATAGATTTATAGGAGCCATAAAAATGTACTTAGTAATGCATTTCAAAGTAAATAGTTTATAAAAATAAAAATTTATAGATAACGAGGTAATATTTTTTCCTGTTAGGAAAGGACAGTTAGTGATTAATACAGGTATCTGGAAACATCTTTTTTTTTTTGATATGGACTCAGATTCCTGGAAGGTGTGTCATTATAACATCACCTATAATCTACTGGGGTCCATAAATGAATACAAGATTTCTAAAGGCTACTAAATCTGTCTGATATATGTTCCAAACAGCATATTACACATCTCTGTTATCCTCCTAAGACATACCGAGCTTTTATGGAAGAAATTATAATAATAAACAGATGTTAATTTTCATCATAATTTATTTGTTGGTTCAAAAGCTCAGTTCAGTGCATATCCCAAGAAGGATATGGTAGTTGGAATTTGGGAATACAGTTGTACTGGAATCAGTCTTAAAACAGAATGCAGTTTTTTAGAACCATTGCCTAATACTGAACAAATGTATTGGCTTTTGCTTTCTAATTTCGCACTTGGTCTGAATAGTAAGACTGAAATTAGACCATAAACCCATGTACATCTAGGCTTATAGGTTAAATTAAGGTAAGTACAAATTATAAATGCTAGGAACCGTCTGTTTACAAGGAAGAGACCAGCAGCTTGGACTTAAATTGTTGAATTCTTTCCAGACACGGGCAGAAAGATTAAAGTGGTTCAAAACCAAATCTGTGGAACAATGAAATTATTTATGATATTTTAAATGTTCATCTGCTTTAATCCATATTCAAATGTTAGCTTTTTCATCCATACTGTTAATACCTCTAAATACAATTTTTTACTGGTTTTTCCTCCCTGTCAAGAATAATGGGCTTTCTCCGGTCTCCCAGTGCTTTGAGTCTGCTCAGCTATGACACGGGCATCAAAGCCCTGTCCTAAATGAGGTGATGAGCATGCATGAGAACCGACTGATGAATTAGAATGTTGGTTTTCAATTTCTTTACTCTAAATAATTTTTAGCTACTTTAAATATGAATATATGCCTTGATGACAAATACGTTCAAAGGAAACACGGAGTGAAAGTCCAGTAGGCTTTCTGTCTTCCAAGTGATTATGGTACCGGTAGACGCTGATGACGGAAATAAAGGTAGACTTTGATTCAAAGAGACAAGTAGGTTGACACAGAAGTTTAAATTGCTGCAATCAACCTTTTCATTTTCTTTCCCCTTTCTGTCATTTACCCATGTTTGATCATTTGTATTTTTAGCTCCTTTATGCTTACCTCTGTTATGGCATTATCTCATTATGGAGATAATTCTGAATTACCTTTTAGGTTTGAAATAGCAGCGTGATCAGGCATCACTAGACTGACAGCAGACAGTGCATGGCTGCGTGCACGAGCACCCTTACTACGCCTTTATTCCAGACAGCTCCTGGGAATGTTGATGTGACATTTTCTTACTTTCCGCTTGATTTTTCATTTGAAAACTCTTAATTATCCATATAATTACTTAACTATAAAAACTTGCTTTGCATCTAAAAATGCTATAGGCTGGTAACACAGCATATTTAAGGAGTCTAAATCTTGTGTGATAGATGGAACATAAATTATTATAATTCCAAATGGTAGGAACTGAGATAAGATCATTTGACAGAATATTTTATTGTGACCTTTTTGATTATTTATCTTTGAAGTACTAATACATCTGAGAGTGTGTGTGTGTGTGTGTGTGTGTGTGTGTATGTATGTATGTATATGACAAGAATACAAGCTCTCGGGCCTTTTTGGGGATTTGTAGATTAAAATTTATTTATAATTAAGATGACCTTTGCTTAATCAAGAGTGAATCAAGACCAGGTTTCTGAGCATCAAGGTAGAACCTACTTTGTATTTTTAAGTACTCCACACCTTTGGGGAGTGTTATTAACAAGGCATGCTAGGTTTTGAAATGTTTCTATTTGGCGATATATGGGTACAGAAAATTTGTTTGCTATTCTTACACACACTGAGGCAAATGTGAAATCCAGTATATGGTTTAGTATATAAAAAGTAATGGAGCTAGGAATGACTTTAATCCATTGATATTCTGTAGAGTTTATTTCAATGTGGGATTTGATTTCCTCTTTGTACCAACTAAACCTTTGCCTGCTGCATTTTTATTGTCGTGGCAGAAGTTATTCATAATGCTGTCTTCTAATCTCTACCAGGAAGGCACCCCTCTGCACCTTTCTGCTGGGGTTACCGTCCAGGTATGAAAAGAAGCCCTTTTTCAGTTAATTCCTGCTGATATTGCTTATATATATAAATATATCCCATAACTAGGAAGTACAATACTTACTTGGAAGTAAATTTTTGAATTGCATTTATTTTCCCTCAATTTTTAAAAACTTAACTATGTTTTAACTACATTAAAGGACTTTGAAAGCATATGTTAATATATCATTATTCTATCATCTTGACACAAATATTTACATTTTCTGGTTCCCTTAGTTTCTGTTCATATATGATTGTGTTTTACTGTTGGCATCATTTCTGTTTTTTTTTTTTTTCATTAAACTTAAAAACATTTCCATTGTTATAAGGTTTTGATCATAATTTTAATTGCTACATAGTAACTCATCAGCTAGTTATTTTTATGTAAAACTTTTTAAAGTATTTGCTGTATTTCTTTTCT